CAGAGACATCTCGGATTGTCTTGATCCATCTTCAGAGTGCACCCGCTACTTGGTCACACACCTTCGGGGTGGGCAAGACTCAGTAAGATCTGGGACAGAGGATTAGCAGACACGATGACAGACAAGAAGACATGATGGTTTCTATGACAAAGGAAGCAAAGGAAGCCTATCCTCAACTTTTTTGCACGAGGGGTCTCTGCTACCTCATTCCCTAAAACCAGCTACACCCCAGAGCTGGGAGGAATTTCTGTGCTGACTGTGTCACAAAGAGTTAGTACTTGGCAAGGCAGTGAAGGTCTGTGCAACAGATCAAAAGCAATGCAAAAAGAGTCTATTTTCAGAAGGACTTGGGCAGAAGATTTGAACATTTAGGGGCAGGGTTTTTTTAAAGAAAAGTCACCTCTCGCCTAGTGCTAAGATTTGGAACAGGGTGGGTACCCTGTCAACACCTCCGGCCACATCTGTGGGACACCAAATGTTCATAGTCTTCCAACTCCCAAACAACTTATGCACCTATAAAAACCTAAACACCAGGCACTGAACATACTAAAACACTTCCTGACGTTTCTCAACCTTTTCTTTCTGAGGACCCCCCTCAGTTTTCTTCCACCGCATGAGCAACAGTCAGATTTCTACTGTCTTGACTGAGCTCTCTGAAAGTCGGCCTATACTTTCAATAGAGTCTTTTCAAAATATTTAGAGAGTAGCCATTTAAATGTTGTCTAAGAGACAAGTCAAAATCTTAACATTAACAACGACTTATGAAAGGAACTTCCTTAAGAAGAAATTTTCCTGGATCAGTATTACCCTATTTTACATTTTCTACAGAAAGAGGAGCCAGGTACTGAGCAGAAAGAAGGTATTTCAGACATATGCAGGGTTGATTCAGCTCACACTGCTGAATCTGAGCGAGAGGCTGGAACCTTGTCACCTCGTTAAGGAGTGGATGAGAATGGCTCGGGATTCCTTGGACACAGTCTTAGTTTATGCTCATCATGAAGCAAAGCTGCTTGAGAAATTATGGAAATATATAAATGCCAACCATTCCTCAGTGAGGGAAACTGTGAAGGGAACCAGCTGTGCTATTAGACATTTTCTGAATGTATGGATAAGCGTTCCCTTTCCATTCCCCATGCTTTTCCCCTTCGCTGGCACTGTAGCCTCTTTGAGGGAAACACCTCTGGAGAGTTTCTAAAAGCCTTTCCAAAAACACTGTGTTCTTTGTAAGTCTTCTGCATAAAGCAGAAGTTGTTGATCAACAACAACAACAAAACAGCCCTGTTTTTTGTTTTGCTTTAAACAACAAAACTCTCAGAAAGCGCCTTCTGTTTCTTGTTTGTCTCAAACTACCTCTTCAAGGGAAAAAAACTGGGAACAGAGTCCCCCGAGTGTGTCCAAAGGGGCACTTCACTGAAGTCACTGCACCATGCACATCTGATGTGGCAACATCGACCATGTAGGACGTATTGTCCTGCGTGAATCACACGATTCCAATTCCAGTGGATGCCAACTTCCATTCCTAATTTCATTAACGATGCAATTAGGAATAAACGAAGGTGAACGAGGTGAGTGTGAAACAGTCAAAACTCTCAGTGCCAGGACACGAACCAGACATGTATTACAAACAAGCCATCCCTGAGTGCAAGAGGCAGAAAGGGGCCACCAAAAAAGGACGTGGATCATGAAAATTTGTTTATAGTATTAAACTTTGGTCTGAAACATAAGGAGGTAGTAATTTGCCTTCTAAAATAAGAACTTCCTTTAAAAGTAAAATGGATTACATGCTAGTGAAATGCCATTTTGTACAATTAATTCATAAAAATAGCAGCTACCACAAGCATCTCTCCCAACTGTGTTTTAATTATTTCTAAACCAAATTCTCTGCAGCCATCGCATTTCTTTCCTCAAAACCATCTTACAAAACCCTTTAGCTTAACTCAAAAAATGACCGCGAGTTAGTCGAGGTGAATATTTTCATTGCTAATTTCCTTATTTAAAAGTCTCCCCACGTTGTCCAGGATTTATTGCCATCTGCCATGCCAGCCAGGCATACCAGGAGATTTCACGGGGACTTCCCCAGAGCAGCACTCAGCGGGTCAGAGTGCAGCAGAGTGACGTGTTTACAGCAAGGATGCTGAGGATGTGAACCATGCGGTGCCGCACCAACGCGCCTCGCTGACGCTTCGAGCACTGATTATTTTCTGATTCTCAGAACTAGAGTTTTTCCAGGAAAAAGGGGAAAAAAAAAAAAGTGGGAAAAAAAGGAAAAAAGAGAAAGTAACAAGCCAAGAGCTGTCTGATAATGAGAAAAGGAGAGCATGGCAGTAGCTCAGGCACGGCAGCGCTCCTGTGCCCAGGTGGGCTTGTTGGAAGCAAATCCCACCAGCCTTCCACATTTACAAACTGCTCTTTTTAAACAAAGGGGTTTTCTGCAGCTGGCAGAGAGTGCCAAGCTGAGGGTACCCAAGGAGCTCTGGAGCGTCTGAGTTGCTGCAGCACAGGGCAGAGGCCACATCACCCATTTACAACTCAGGTTTTCCTTTACCTGTTGGCACCATTCATTCAAGAGGGAAAAAGGTCAAAAGAGAGAGGAGCCTCAGAGACACAAGTGCCAAAGGAAAGGGGAAAGAATACTAGTGATCAGATAGTACTGAAGAGACAGGGAAGGAAAAGTACAGAGACTAAAGGGAGAGCCCGAAAGAAATGACAGCAAAAATAAAGCTATAGAGCAAAACAGAAACGTGAAAGAATAAGGCAGTACCACCAAAACTAGAAAGATTTTCATACAGAATTCACTACTAGAAAAGTAGCATGAGAAGTCAGTTAAAAATTTTAGCATTGATAAGAGAAAACACAACATTAGACAGACTCAAGAATGTAAAACTAGTGTTAGTTTTCCTGACAGAATAATAAGAAAAGGCAGGGGGGACGAGATGATCATGGGGGAGCTCTGTGATGAAAAAAATGGCAGCAATAAACATCGCCTCCACTCAAGGCAGCCTGGCCCAGCCAAGTGAGCACAGAACAACATGCACCACTATCTGGCATTTTCCACCACAAAAAGCAAAATTAGGGAATGAGGCAAGAACCCAATATCCATGGCAATGTCTGGGACCCACCTTCAGTCTTGAACGTCCTCAACACCATCTCCCTGCACATTTCCAGCATATTTTCACAGCTACTTCTGGGGGTGAGGTGACATGTCTGATGAACTAATGAGACTTTTTTCCTGTAAGGATTCATTCCCACATCTCCCAAATACAGAAGGCTGAAGCAATATGAATATATCCCTGTGCCCTTTCCAGCAGAGACTCGATCCGGCGCAGTAACCGAGGGGTCTGCGTAAAACACAAGCCACTCACCTCTGTGGTGGTGAATCAACACTTTGCTTTAGGCATCAGCGCCTCACAATCCACACTCAGTCATTTACTGCATTATATTGGCAACAAACTTCCTTTGTTACTACTGACACAAGCTTGACTAAGCTTCCCTTTAAGCCAGTATGTGAGAAAGGGTGAAATGCAAACACGTAGGACCAAGTCTGAAAGCTTCCTACAGCTTTTCCTAAGAATACTTGTTGGTCTAATAAAGGATGCTAAGCTTTCCCAAAATATACAGTTCCACATGTATTTTCAGCCCATCATATGTACAGTATTTCTATCAAAGAGTCACAAAATAGAACAGCCTCAGACTGAAGCCCAGCTTGGCAATATTGTTATTTGTGAATGCTCTGTTACAGGATTTCTTTGGAATTATTGGGAAAAAACAATTGTTTTGCAAATGGTGAATGTCCAGAGTGAAAACTAATATTAAGAATCTTTGGTCTGTCTCCTCACTTCCTTCTCATCTTTGTCCTCTGACTTTTGCCTGGTCCCTGCATCCATCACTTCAGAGCACAGGTGCAAAGCCCATGAAGGATCACAGTAAGGTATTTCACCTGCTCTTCATGCCAAGTGCCTGCAGGCAGGCCCTGCACACTTTGAACAGTAATAAATTCTCTCAAACCAGGAATTGCACTGGGACAATCTGACAGACAGGCTATGCAGCAGCTCCCTGTACCTGCTTTGGAGGAAATGCCTCATGGGCACATCAAAACCTCACCGTTACATCCACAAACCCTCCATACTGAATACTTTCAAAACTGAGGTCTGCAAAAGGCATTTTGTTCTTGGGACGAGGAGCAGCCTGTGTTTGTGACAGCGACCTGCCACATGCTCCTTGCAAGCCCGGCTGTCAGAGAGCGGGCACCGGGCACAGACCCTCAGACCACACCAAACACTCAACCTATGTTTCCAGCTCAGGAGCCTCTTCCTCCCCCCAGAGATCAGGGATGGAGGGAAAAACTGCTGTTGCTGGAATGCCTAAGTTTTATCTGTATTTAAGACATCCTAAATTAAATTTTTAAAAAAATCACAACATGCAACATTTTAAGACAAAAAAAAGGTGTTCTGACAGCACTTCGTTATAAATCCTGCTTCCCTGGACAGATTTACACCTTTGTTCCTAAGAGTACTTGTACGCCTGTAAAAGTACTCCTATTCACGAGCACTTCCCCGCGCTGGAAGAAAGAACCACCTCCTTTCTACCTTGACGCATCTCACGCATTCACCGCCGCCTTGTGAAGCGGTCAAGTGCCATTACACCCCTTTAAGGGCCACGCAAACAAACTCAGACACCTCTGAGCACAGAAGCGAACCTCTGTGCGCCGGACGAGCTCTGTACCCGGCAGGTTGAAGGCGGAGCGGCCAGCGAGGCTTCTCGCCGGGACATCCCAGCCGGCGCGGTACGTGCGTGTGAGTTCGCTCTGTACCTCGGCGCACACACGCGTTTATTCACACACGAGACATTTTTACGGGCGCTTCCCCAGCAAGGCTCGCTGCCGAGGCTCCGGCAGGGCGGGCCGGCGGCCGAGGCGCGGCCCCTCTCGCAGCCCCGCTGCCCGGGCTCGGAGCCGCCCGCCCGCCCCAGCCCCGAGAGCGGCGGTGCCGGGACACACTCACTGTGCGGGTCGCTCTTCTCGCGGACGCCGTCCACCTTCCCGTCGGGGTTGATGCGCAGGAAGAAGCCGCCGTTCTTGCAGTAGAGGCGCTTGGGGTCCTTGAAGTGCCCGGGGGGGAAGGCGCCGCCGCCGCCGTCGTCGGGCAGGGTGGCGATGCCCCCCGCCGCCGCCCCGGCCATGCGCCGCGCCCCGCCGGCCCCGCGCCGCGCCGGGCCCCCGCCGCCCCCCGCCGCCAGCGCCGGCCGGCCCCGGCCCCTGCCCCGGCCGTCCAGCCTCGCACCGAGCCCCGCCGGGGATCCCGTCCCGCCTGGTCCCGCCCGCTCCGTTCCGCGGGAGCCGCGCGAGGCGCCGCCGGGCAGCGGAGCGGGAGGCAGGACGGGCAGCGGAGCGGGAGGCAGGACGGGCAGCGGAGCCGCGCACGCCGGGACGGGCTCCCCGGCGGCACCGGGGCTGCCCCCGCCGCCGCCCCGCCCCCGACCGCCCCCGCGCCGCGCCGGGGCCGCTCCCTGAGCCCGGCACGGCCGGGCCCGCGGCCCCGGGGGAGCGCCCAGGGACCAGGGCACGTCTTGGGGCCAGGACCCCCGGCGGGGCTCCGCTCGGCGCTGCCCCGAGCATCGCTCCCGGGATGCAGCGAACGTGCCACGGGCGAGGTCGGACATCTTCTCCTGCGGCGTTACAAATAAAGTAACCCGACAGTTACTTTAGACCAGAAGTTTTGTGGCCTCTGCATCAGACTAAATTGTTTAAATCACGATATAGCGATACAGGGGTTGACCTGTCAAAATAAATACACGTGGCAACCGTGTCACTTCACTGTATTTACCAGAAACTAGTTCTCCTCGCACCCAACAGCGGCAAACTGATAGTCAGCAAAGGGCAACATGTGAAAATTCCGGCACTGGTCTTCTGCACTGGCCTTTATCACACTGGTGATAAAACAAATGTGCACACAATTTATAAAGTGTAGTGACCCATCGAATGCACTTTGTGCTTGGGGCTGGCAACAAAACGGGATGAAGAGATATGTTTCTAAATCTGTGCTTTGTGCCCTGAATCTCCGGTCTAGCAGCAGGTGGACCTTGGGAAGCTCTCTAACTTCAAAGGCAGCCTGAGCATCCCTGGATGATCGCAACTGGGACTGCTATCACTGGTCTTTTCACTTCAGAAGGCCAATACACAGCAACCCTTGGGAACAGCCCAACGCCAGGGCAGACGCTCCGTCCAGCTTACGCAGTTTGTAACATTCTCTTCGCTAACATGTACGTAAAGGAATTTTGTTGCCGGTTCACTTCCCTTCCCTTCCCAGCCCTGACCGCTCGAGAGCCATAAACTGTAATTCTTTACCAGAGTGGGCGACAATTACAGCGCTTCCCACACCCTCACTCCAGAGGCTTAATCATGATGAACGGAGCAGGCAGAGCCCGGCTCAGCGCAGGTTCACCCCCGTGTCAGCCAACCCTCCCCTCGCAGCGCCGCGGGCACAACCCAGTGTCACTCGCCTGCTGCCCTTCTCCACGCCACGGGGATTTCAGCCGCGCTGCTCCGTGAGCATCTCCCCCTTCCTTAGTTTCCCCATCGCCCATCCGCTTCCAACATGTTCTGCTACTTCTCCTGGAAATCCCACTGTTTTCACTGTACCTGAGAGTTCTGGACAGTCACAGCCACCAGCAAAAATCCTCCTCGTTTCCTCTTGTTCTTCCTCTGCAACAGAAGCTGCATGTCAGGGCAGTCTGTGTCCTTGCACTATAGTGTTCCAAATCCTTACCTCTTTCCTGGAAGACAAATGAAGGGAAAATTAAGGTAGATTCAGGTACATGAAGAGAAGGGGTAAAAATGTAAAAAACCCCTCTAATTAGTTCTTTTTTAAAACAAAACAAAAAAACACAAGCCCAAAAGCAAAAAAAAAAACCAAAAAAAAAACCCCAAAAAACAAACCCCCAAAACAAACAAACAAAAAACCAAACAAATCAAAAAGACAACCTCAAAATGCTGAAAACCCAAAAAAACTTTTCTGAAGGCCAAACACCCATAGTTTCACTCAGATGCTTCTGTAATTCTGCATTCCCTGCACACGCAGCAGCCCTTCACAGCTTGCACACATCAGACCCTGAATGCTGCCTTGGGAAACCAGCCTCTCACGGGTCAACATTCCCTCTTCTGGGAAGGGGGACACAGTCAACGGGGCAGGAGCAAGTCCCTGTACCCCAGTGCACCCCATATGAGCACAGCCTTGGCCAGCTGGACACCCTGTAACCAAGCTGCAGTATCAACACCGTGTTTTATAGGACAAGATCCTGATATTTCTGAGCTCTGACCTCCATGATGGCCCCAACCCAGTGCTGGCAGGGTGGGTAAGGCAGCCAGCTCAAATTCCTTATCAAACTCGCCGTATAAAAACCAATAAAATCCTTTTTACCAGTAGAATTGTGAGGTTTGAGAGCTCTTTAGAAGCTTGTCACTGGGAACTGTATCTGTGGGGCCTAGAACTAAAAGACAAAGAGAGCTAAAATGGAAAGTCCTATTCCCCAAGCCATCTGCACTCACCTAAAGATCTGCCAATTTTCTTTATTTTTTTTAATATATTTTCCTTTCTCTTCTTCAAATGGAAAACATGCCAGTTTTTATTTTCACCACTCTACTTTCTTCTGCACTCCAACCTCTTAACATGGTCATTAATATTGCTCTTAACATTGACGAAAGCAATTCTGGCAGTAGCATTTTCCTTCCTTTAGGCCTCCACCACCTTATCCCCACCACCACCCCTCCTCAGCTCAGATCTTCCACACAATTACACCCGTACAGCTACTTCTCCTCCACCCAAACCATCAATTATCTGTGCTTCCAGCCCCCTTCACAAGCCTTCTCTTGTAAGACATACTCCATGTTAAAATGCCTTGAGCCCTACCTTCCTTCTACTTCAAAAATACATCTTAGAGACCTGTTCTCTCACCTGTTCCATTCAACTAAGCTACTGCCATTTTGTGTTTGTCTTGCACTGTTCTGTAACCAGCTGGATTTTGTAACAGAATCATAGAGCATCTCAAGTTGGGAGGGCCCCATAGGGATCATCTGAGTCCAACTCCCTGCTTCTCACAGGAATAGTTTACCTCTCATACACAGGGGTCACATTGAACACAAGGCACTTCATAAACAAGATAGACACCCTGTTCTGATGGCAGAGAACTGTGGAACATCTGCATGTGCAGTCATTGTATTTACTCAATTTACAATGCTTGAATTTATAGAGAGTCTCAGTAAGAACATCTGGAAAAAAAACCACGAAACAAATGCAATCAAACATAAATTATATTGTTAGTCTGGTTACGGGAAAACCCTGAAAAAGGCAAGAGTAATTTTTGAGGTATTTCAAATTAAGAGTAAGAAGCTCAATCAGCTCTATCAGTCTTTACTTTTAATCCAAGGTGCAAGAATCCAGCCTACAACTTCCCTGGACTTTCCAGCAGTTACTATGACAAACCCTGCCATATGATAACCCCAGGAAATGTCAATCCCCTTCCATGGAAGCTGCTTTTAGAGGGGTTTCAGCCCTATGTCCTTGATAGTTTGCCAGTACAATGTCTCCAGAGTGTTTGCTCACACAGGAATCACGAAAGTGGTGCTTGAAAAGCATCCTAAATTAATCTGCAGGAGACCCGATTTACTATAAAATGAAAATAAAACAAACAAACAAAAAATCCCTCACTTTTGAAAAGCAATTAGAACTCCAGGAAAGCAAAGACATCCAAGAACACTTCGGCTCATCCATCTTCCCACCACTGAGACATACCAGCAGGTGGTTTGTATCACTACGGTGGCAGGGAATGCTTCCAGCTGCTGGAAACGTAACATCAGCCCCAGGCTTCCCATCCATCACAGCACTTCTTGACTCCCAGGGTTTCTTGGCTTCCCGATCCCTCTCTTTGGTGCATATCCAAATAACAATTAGCCAAAACAAGATGGATAAACTGTGTGCCTTCTGAAGTTTTTCCTGTCTTGTCTCGTGCTTAACTAGCAGTGGAAAAAATCATCCATCTCCCTTCAGCAGCACAGAATTCTCATGCATTCACTTGTCAAAGGCAAGGTCAGAAAACTGCTTAACTGCTTAACTTTAAGTATATTTCATTCCTTCAAAGTCTGAGCATGAGCTTAAGAATTCAGTAGCAATTTATTCCTCAGAATTCTTGGTTCTCTCACCATCAACAGCTGATATTTACATTCTGGATCAATATTCCTGTGTTTGCTCAGGAGTTTAAACACATGCTGCAGCTGCTTTGTGTGATGGAAGCAAACAGCCACAAACGTGTCTATAACTGATTGAATTTTTCTTTTAAATATTAGTTACTGGAGAAAGCAGTCTCATATTTCACCTACCTACTTTTGCAAGTGCAGTTTATGAGGCAAAGTTTCTCTCTTTTAAGTATATATGTATATTATCAAGTGCCTGAGAAAGTCTTCTTGCATGGTCACTCCTTTAAAAATCCTGCAACAGAGGTTCAGCTTTTCATTTCATTTATCTTGCTGGTGATTTTATGACTTTATCAATATTTTTTTAAACAAAAGCTTACTTCTTCCCTCTTCATATTTTTTTTCTGGTGCAAATAGTAGAAAGAAATCACATCAACAATAGAAAAAAAAAATCTCCTCTCCATTACAAACCTCTTACAGTCTCCATTCCACTTCAGGAAAGTACTTCATTCCTCTAAAGCACCAGTGGACACTTGTTTATGTCTTTCTAAAATCAATTTTTCACAATATATGCTTAATCTGACTGTGGCCACAGATGGCCAAAACTTTGTTTTGGGCTGTCTTTACAAATGGTTGATGTTGGAAACATGACAGCCCAGCATGGCTGGAGATAAGAGAACGAACGATCCAGTGAGGCCTATGTTGGCAGTAAATCAAATTTGTTATGGTCCAAAATGATTGCACTTGGAAAAAGAACTGAACTGTCTAGAAGCACTGACGGCTGTTGCAGATGTAAGAGATGCAGCAGTGACCTAAGCTCAGGAGAAACAAGAAATAATGTTCTAAGGACAAATATTTATGGAGGTTAGAGTTCAGAATTAGCAAAGTCACCCCTCTCCCTCCCTCTAATGTGCATGCAAAGACATATACACACCCTTTCTCTCTGTAGTGCACATTCCATAGAGTAATACATCTTAATTAGCAAAATTACTCCAGGCTAAGAAAATAAACAATGTCAATATAAAATTGATAATGTACATTAAAAAAAAAATACACAATTAAAAAAATACTCTGCAACTATACATCATGAACTCATCATACATCATGAACTCGAAGAATTTGAGTTAATATTGGATTTCAAAGAAATCCACACTTATGAGGGTAAGAGATTTCCTTAGCAGGAACAACCATAAAACCAC